TATAGCATGAGCTTAATAATGAGACAAGACACAAAGGTTCATTCATTTAATGAACACGTAACTCACACCTACCAATGTCAGAGAATACACTAAGTGCCGCTTCAGTGACAGACATGTCCCATGTCGCTGAAGGGTCAGAAGGGGTCCCTCTTTCCAGCGAGCATGGAAACTCATTCAAGAGAATCAGCAGGCACTGAACAGCTTTCATCTTTGGTTATGGATTCTTTTTTTTTTTTCCCCCAAGGCTATTGCTGGTTCTTACTTTAGTTGAAGTAAGAACTGTTCTTAGGGGTATGCCACTTTTCTCTGACCCTGTAAAGGACTGGAGGGCTGAGTGGTCACTTGCCTCATACAGTCCCCTTTGCCCTCTAGATCCCACGTGTGGATGGCGAGTATGATCTGAAAGTGCCACGTGACATGGCGTATGTGTTCAGTGGTGCTTACGTGCCCCTCAGCTGCCGAATCATCGAGCAGGTGAGAACGAGTGGCTCGCTCCTGTTCATATTTCATGCTCTCTGCTTTCTCTTAGTCCCTGGCCTGGCCCAACTTTTAACTGCCTGAGTGACTAGCAAGAAATGTGACAGTCTGGCTGCTGCTAGACTTGAAACTAGCGCTTGTGCCTTCCCAGGTGCTGGAGCGGCAAAGCTGGCAGGGCCTGGATGAAGTCGTGCGGCTTCTCAACTGCAGTGAGCTGGCATTCACAGGTGCGTGGCCTTGCCCAGTGGGGGCGGGGTGAAACGAGAGGAGGGCCGGATGCATCATCCAGTAGTGCCGGTGAAGAGCTGAGTCTGGTCTGGTCTTTGCAGACATGACCAAGGAAGACAAGGCTTCCAGTGAGTCCCTGCGCCTCATCTTGGTGGTGTTCTTGGGTGGTTGCACATTCTCTGAGATCTCAGCCCTCCGGTTCCTGGGCAGAGAGAAAGGTGAGATCAGGCTTCCGTGGGATCTGGGGAACAAAGGGCAGCCCTCAGGAAGGCTTCTTTACTGGCCTCTGGGTACCACTTGCTGCCATCTTGCTGTGGGCTGAATAGCAGGAAGCCCAGTTCCACCAAGCATGGCAAGTTGCTGTGCCCCGGAGCATGGCACGGACGCATCTATGACTATAAACTGGTGCTCTGACCCACCCAGGGCCGTGGAACTGGAGGGGCTTTACATGGCTGGTGTTAGGGGCTTAAATCTGCCCTCAGTCATGTATGGTGTTGCTTTTGACTCCTTAGGGTACAGGTTCATTTTTCTGACGACAGCAGTCACCAACAGCGTTCGCCTTATGGAGGCCATGAGTGAGGTGAAAGCCTGAACTTTTCCCGGCCAGTGTTGATGTCTCCCTGGACATGTTCCGCAGTGGGAAGCAGGAGTTTGAACCCAGCTGCTAATAAAATGTCTACCAACTATGCTCCTAACAGCTGGGGAGCAGGGAACTTATTTGAATTTAGAGAACATATCTGAGGAGAGAGTTCACTTCCTGCCCCCAGGATATTTCTTTTTTGTTTATGAAGTACAGCCCATGCTGATGAGATAAAGAGGAAGAGGATCTTTTGCTAAATCCTGTTTGAGTATCATTGTAAATAAACCCTCTACTCTCAATGTATCAATATTATGTTTAGTTCTAGACAGGCACTTCCACGTTTACTGGTGAAGCAGAGGGGGCTTTACATAGGGGCTTCGTGTATTCTACGGCCTGGACTGGGTAGTAGCTCTGGGCCTGGTCTGGTTCTTCCTTGAAACTTGCACTGTACTGGACTTTCCTCAACGATAAAATGAGGATTAGTTAGATGATCAGTACCAGTTAGATGATTGCACCCTTCCAATTCTAAAATTCTGTGAGTCATTACACTTTAGAAAAAATGAGCTTGCTATGGTTTTAACTTAAGGAGTCGCTTGAATTTTAAGCCTTTTGTTTCTTATTGCAGAATGAAAGATTATGTCCCTTGTTAGAGCAATTTCAGGCATTGGCAAACTGTGCTCCTATAAAGGTTACCAGTGCCCTCCTAAGTGCTGATTCTAGTGACCTTTCTTTCCCCTTACCCTTTAAAAATTGTGAACACTAACCACATCTATTAGTGGTCGTCTTCTAAGTTGATCTCACTGATGATCCCCTTTACCTTCTTGTAATTCTCATATTTAGCTTCCATGACACACTTCTTTGTCCTCCTGCATTCTCCTAGGCTGCACTTCCATCTCCTTTGGTTCCTCTCTCTGTGTATCCTCCTTTGTTGCATCTCCTGTCTCTGTCCTTTATTGTTATCCATCCCAAACTTTTGTCTCACTGCTGAGATTCACGCGATTATTTACAACCTGGTCGTTCCATGGGCAGTTCACACTCAGCATGTCTAAAATAAACTCTCACACTGAACCTCGTGTCCCCACTTGGGATCCCTAAATCTGCTCCTCTTCCTCTGTTTCCTTAATTGACATCCTCATCATCTACCCAAGTTTTGTTCATGCAAGAAATTATATCCTTGGGACTTCCCTGGTGGTCCAGTGGTTAAGACTCCGTGCTCCCAATGCAGGGGACCCGAGTTCAATCCCTGGTCAGGGAACTGGATCCCACATGCATGCCACAACTGAGAGTTCGAATGCCACAACTAAAGATCCCACATGCGGCAACAAAGATCCCACGTGCTGCTACTAAGACCCAGTGCAGCCAAATAAATAAATAAAATTTTAAAAATTAAAAGAAAAAAAAGAAATTATATCTTTGACCTCAGATTTTTTTCTTTTTATCCCCCACATTCAGCTGGTCCCCTTACCCATTATTTCTAAATGCTTCTGGTTCATCTTCTCACCATCCCCATGGCAGAGGTACTTGTTTTTGGCCTGGGCTTTTGCAAAACTGTCCCTCCCAAGCTCTGCCTCCTATCTGTTGCCCAATCCACAGTGCTGCCATGTCTTTTTTTTTTTTAATTGGGGTATAGTTGTTTTACAATGTTGTCTTAGTTTCTACTGTACAGCGGAGTTCCCTGTGCTATACATCAGGTTCTTATTAGTTGCCTATTTTATACATATTAGTGTATATATGTCAGTCCCGATCTCTCAATTCATCCCACCCTCGGTGTCCATACGTTTTTTCTCTACATCTGTGTCTCTATTTCTGCCTTGCATGCCACTTCTTAAAATAAAGATCCAAACCTGTGGTGTTGGATCATCAAAAGTATTCTTTCCATAGGAGAATGATAATGCTGTGAGTGCAAATTCCAAGGAAAATGCAGTACCTCAAGTATCCAGCTAGAATCTTGACAGTGCTACGTCAAGCTAGTGTGCAAGATCAAAGACACTGCTGACAGGGCTGTTAGTTTGTAGAAAGAATATTTGGCAGTCAGAAAAAGTTCTATGCCCAAATGAATAAACAGTGGCAGTGCATTCTAGAACAGTGCTGTTCACTAGAAATATAAAATGGTCCTTTTTAATACACATTACAGAGTGTTTTACGTGCTGAGCATATGCTCTGAATTGTTATCTTCCAACGGTTCTATGATCGTTGACCGTGGGATCTTTGTTAGCTTCAGAATTACAGTGTAAAGCACATTATAGCAAAATCGTCTTATGTCTGGATACTTACAACCGTGGCCCTGGAAACCTGTCTGAAGATCACAAGTTTTTGAAGCTTTCTGGAAAACTCTCAGGTTAATCAACCAAGAGCGCAAGTAAATTTAAAAAGTGGTGCCTGCAGGCCACGTACTAGTGGTGCAGATGTTTGGCACGCACTGCTCATGAGTTAAAGGATGTTGAAAGCACCAATGAAGTTTTTCCGAAAGTGAGAAAAACACGGTCCGGAAGGTGAAGCAAACAGGCATCCTTTACTTTTCCTTCATGGAAAAGACAAATGAAGAGAATTCACAGAAGTTACAGTTGACCAATACACATGGGGAAAATGTGCAATTTCAGCTATAATCAAGCAAGTATGAATCAAACAAGGAAATGCCACTTTGCCTAGCAAAGTGGTTTTAAAGGACAGTAGTACTCCATACTGCTGAGGGTGAGGAGGGTACTCTTCCTTGGTGGTGAGGGCAAATTAATAAATACAGCCTGTCTGGAGAGGGAGCATAAAGTAATTACACTTCTAGGAACCAACCCTAAGAAAACAATGCAAAATGCCAAGTTTTAGGTATGAAGACATTTATTTGTACAAAGTACAACCTAAATATCCATCGATGGCAAAGTAGTTGAATTATGAATCTACACACCAATATATTACACAACCATGAAAAAAGGAAAAAGTGATATATAAGCATTAAGGCATGTAGCAAGGATACAAAAGTACTTTGTCGATTTTGACTTTTTCAATTTTTATATAACAATTATATAAATCCAGGTAATTTGAAAGAAAACCACGATCCAGGTAATTTCCATTCATTTACCAGTCGTTACTTGGGCAAGTCACTCAGACCTTTTTGAGACAGTTCCCTTTGTAGAATGGCGATAATACCTAGCGGGATGGTTGGGGAGATTAAATGGGATCACTCGTCTAGAAAGGTACCAGGCCGGTGAGCAGGGTTCAGGGTCCGTCCCTTCCCTTTCCCTTTAGGTCATGGTTTCCTACATCTGGGTAAACTGCTCGGTCCCCAGCCTTGCTGCCTGCAGCCTTGCTGCAAGGGAAACAAATTACGGCGCCAGGCTTTTCTGTTAATCCCTCTCATGTCACCTCTCCGGCTGAGGGCGGCAAGGCCGTTTACGCGCCACGCCGGGGAGATCCGGACACCGGGCGGTCTCTGGGCGGCGACGTGCACTTCGAATCAAAACCGCGCCGGGGCGGGGCGGAACTCCGAGCAGGTCGCCGTCTCGCAAGGTTTGGACGTCCCCTCCCGGCTACAGCAAAGCGAGGCAAGAGAGCCGCGCGCACGCGCACACAGCGATCCGGTCTCCCGCCGGCGCGCGAGCGCTTCCCACGCCCAGTGCGCGAGTCCCCGCCCCTAGCCACGGCGCGCCGGGGGGGGGGCGAGGCGGGGCTTCGCGAGGAGCCACGGGACGCAGCACCAATCGCGGCGCTCCTCCGCCTCAGGGTTCGGTTTGAAATTCTGCGCAGGCCTAACGGCTCGCGGAACGGCTACCGGGAGTGAGACCGCCGGTGCTTGCGGGTGGTTGCTGCGCTCGGGCCCGCGTGGAGAGGGTCGGGGCCTCGACGCCCGCTCGCTTGGAGCGTCCACCATGAGGAGAAGGTGCGGGTTGTGGGGGAGTCGAGGGGGCGTGGGAGGGATCGGTGCCGGTGCCGGTCCCGGGTGCGGGGCGGTGGTGGGGCTGGGCGGAGTCCGAAAGGCCGCCTTAGGCCGTGGGCCGGGGTGTCTCGTTAACCGGCGCCCGAGTGAGGCTGGAAGAAGCCAGCCACGGTTGGGAAGTGGCGAGCCGGTGCACGGGCCGCGGGCCCTTGGCGGGGTGGAGGCCAGACCTGACGCGCGCCTTCCCCGGGGCCGCGGGCTCCCGCAGGCCCCGACGCCCGGGTGCGGGCCGAGCGCAGGTGCCCGGGAGAAGCGGCGGGAGGCCAGGCGGGCCCGCGGCGCACCCGGTGCGGGGCGGTCAGAGCTGGCGTCCGCGAGCCCCACCCTCTCCGCCAGCAAAGCGTCTCAGGTGCTGCTGCTTGGCACCGACGGCTTGTTCTAAGTCCTGAGTCTTTTATGGTCAGTGTTTCTAGTTTTTCTTTAAATAAAGACGTGCAGTTTTTAGTTTATCGTTGCTTTTCGATGTATCTGGGTTGCAGTGTTAACACTTTACTTGAATTGGAAAGATAGCTTGGTTTTCTTGCAAGTTGAAAAACTCCGATAAAGGAATTTTTTTCCCGTCGTTTTAACAACCTCTCAGGCAGTGCTGGGAAAGGAGTGTCCGAATTGAAATTGGGACCAGACGCACCACACTGCCACCTACCAGCCTGTGACTTTGGGCAAAAATGTTGAATGTCAGTTTGCTCATCTCTAAAATAAAAATAATGCTCGTGCATAGGACTTTTGTGTTAAAAGCGATGCAGATGTTAACCTTATTTTCTATAAGTAGTGGGTGAAGCATTGTGATGATTCATTATTAAATAATTTATAGTTATTAGTCAAACTGATTGATGTATGGCTTTGTAAGTTTCCTCTTTCCATGATTACTAATTCCGACCGTTCTTTTTCAAATGCTTGCCCTCGTGAGAATGGGAATGTAGTACAAATCACTGGTACCATTGGAAAAACAGATCTCAGGTGTAAGGTTGTGGATTACAAATATCTTATATAAAAGACAGCACATTTAAGCTGCTGTGCGTTTCAGCTAATGACGCATTTTGAGGACTAGTAAAATTTTAAATGACATTTTACAGGAAACTCTTACTCCAAGTCCATTAACAGTTTTTGGATTGTTCAGGCATCTACTGCTTTCAAGAAAGTAAATGAAGAGGGAGGAAAAGTTATCAATTAACTTTGGTTCCAGGCTGACAGATATAATTAGGCTTTAAAAGAGCAACTGGAATTACTCTACTAACAAAACTAGACTTTCAGGTAATCTGGATTTCAGGTATTCATATTTAGAGAGGACTGTGGGGCTTCCCTGGTGGCGCAGTGGTTGGGAGTCCGCCTGCCGATGCAGGGGACGCGGGTTCGTGCCCCGGGTCGGGAGGATCCCGCGTGCCGCGGAGCGGCTGGGCCCGTGGGCCATGGCCGCTGGGCCTGCGCGTCCGGAGCCTGTGCTCCGCAGCGGGAGAGGCCGCAGCAGTGAGAGGCCCGCGTATCGCAAAAAAAAAATAAATAAAATAAATAAATAAATAGAGAGGACTGTGAGAAGTATGCCTGAGGAACATGATTACCAGAATGGTCACTGAATTGACTATTGGCTATCGATTTCTGAAGCAGGTTGTACAGAGGAGCTTAACAAAGCTTCTCTGGAGGGCTATTTAGGAAAAAATAGGACAGTGTATCAGTAGAATGCTGCCAGAAGGTAGGAAATCATTTAGAGGGTCATTTGGGATATCTTCCAGTCTAGTGACTTAAGTTCAAGAGACTGGAAAAATTGGCCCCCTTTTCAACCTCTGTATTCTTGGGTGTTATTCTTGTAAGCACCCTCAGTTTTTCAGTGATGTATTAAGAAAAAAGTCTCAAGTTTGCACCTTTTAGGGGATTACCTGAAACCGTTTAGAAAGGCACTACATAATTGTACCATGATGATTATTTTTGTAACATTTTTTATGCTTTTATTTTTAAAGTCTTATTGAAATTTACAATGTTGTGTTTAATGTATGCTGTACAGCAAAGTGATTCAGTTATACACATATATATTCTTTTTTTGTGTGGTACGCGGGCCTCCTACTGCCGTGGCCTCTCCCTTCAGGGAGCACAGGCTCCGGATGTGCAGGCTCAGCGGCCATGGCTCACGGGCCCAGCTGCTCCGCGGCATGTGGGATCTTCCCAGACCGGGGCACGAACCCGTGTCCCCTGCATCGGCAGGCAGACTCTCAACCACTGCACCACCAGGGAAGCCCCTATTCTTTTTTTTAAACACTATTTTATTTATTATTATTTTTAAATTTTATTTATTCATTTATTTTTGGCTGTGTTGGGTCCTCGTTGCTTCGCGTGGGCTTTCTCTAGTTGTGGCGAGCGGGGGCTACTCTTTTATTGTGGTGCGTGGGCTTCTCATGGTGGTGTCTTCTCGTTGTGGAGCACGGCTGCAGGCCCACAGGCTTCAGTAGTTGCGGCTCACGGGCTTTAGAGCGCAGGCTCAGTAGTTGTGGCGTACCGGCTTAGTTGCTCTGTGGCATGTGGGATCTTCCCAGACCAGGGATCGAACCCGTGTCCCCTGCATTGGCAGGCGGATTCTTAACCACTGCACCACCAGGGAAGCCCCACATCTTCTTTTTCCATTCATCTGTCAATGGACATTTAGGTTGTTTCCATGTCTTGGCTATTGTAAGTAGTGCTGCTGTGAACATCGGGGTGCGTGTATTTTTTCAAATTATAGTTAGTCTGGGTGTATGCCCCAGGAGTGGAATTGCTGGATCATATGGCAACTCTGTTTTTAGTTTTTTGAGGAACCTCCACACTGTTTTCCATAGTGGCTGTACCAACTTACATTCCCACCAATAGTGTAGGAGGTTTCCCTTTTCTCCACACCCTCTCCAGCATTTGTTATTTGTAGACTTTTTATGATGGCCATTCTGACCAATGTGAGGTGGTACCTCACTGTAGTTTTGATTTGCATTTCTCTAATAATTAGTGATGTTGAGCATCTTTTCACGTGCCTGCTGGCCATCTGTATGTCTTCTTTGGAGAAATATCTATTAAGATCTTCTGCCCAGTTTTCGATTGGGTTGTTTGGTTTTTTTGTTGTTGAATTGTATGAGCTGTTGGTATATTTTGGAGATGAAGCCCTTACCTGTCGTATCGTTTGCAAATGTTTTCTCCCATTCTGTAGGTTGTCTTTTCATTTTTTATGGTTTCCTTTGCTGTGCAACAGCCTGTAGGTTTGATTAGGTCCCATTTGTTTATTTTTGTTTTTATTTCTATTGCCTTGGGAGACTGACCTAAGAAAACAGTGGTACGATTTATGTAGGTGAATGTTTTGCTTATGTTCTCATCTAGGAGTTTTATGGTGTCATGACTTATATTTAAGTCTTTAAGCCATTTTGAGTTTATTTTTGTGTGTGGTGTGATGGTGTGTTCTAACTTCATTGATTTACATGCAGCTGTCCAGCTTTCCTAACACTGCTTGCTGAAGAGACTGTCTTTTCCCCATTGTGTATTCTTGCCTCCTTTGTCAAAGATTAATTGTCCATAGGTGTATGGGTTTATCTCTGGGCACTGTATTCTGTTCCATTTATCCAAATGTCTGTTTTTTTGCCAGTACCATGCTGTTTTGATTACTGTAGCTTTGTAGTATTGTCTGAAGTCTGGGAGGGTTATGCCTCCTGCTTTGTTCTTTTTCCTCAGGATTGCTTTGGCAATTCTGGGTCTTTTATGGTTCCACATAAATTTTAGGATTATTTGTTCTATTTCTGTGAAAAATGTCCTGGATAATTTGATAGGGATCACATTAGATCTGTAGATTGAGTAGTATACCATGATAATTATTATTCACAGTGACTGCACTCAGGTGTTGTAAGATCATACAGCTTTTTTGAAACATCTTTATTCAAAAATTCTTCTTGAATGTTTATTATATATAAGACACCATTCTAAGTGTTGGGGATTCAGCAGTGAACACAACTGACATCCTTGCCCTTTAGAGGTTACATTTTAATAACAAAATAAAAAGGTAATAAGCAAATTTTACATTAAATGGTAATAAGTGCTATGGAGAGAAATCAAGCAGAGAAAGGGGATAAGTACTGAAGGTGTGGGAAAGGGGAGTTGCAGTGTTAAAGAGATTGGTCAGGAAAGGCCTCCCTGAGAAGGTGATCTTTGAGAAAAGATCTAAAGGCGGCAAGGGGCAAGCCATGGGACACCTAGGGGAAGACAGTCTAGGTTGAGGGAATAGCAAATGCCAGTGCCTGAGGTAGGATAGTGCCCGGTGGGTTCCCGAAAGAGCAAGGAGTCCAGTGTGACTGGAGTAGATTAAAGGGCTCTGGAGGCCTTTATAAAGGCAGAAGCTTCTCCTCTAAGATAAGGAATCACTGGAGGATTTTGAGGGCATGGAGGCTTGTGGCTTCTGTGCACACAATAAGCATAAGGAGGCCAAGGCAGAAGCAGGGAGACCAGTTAAAAGACCAGGGTAGTGGTACAGATGAAGAGATGATAGTGGTGACCTGGACCAGGGAGGTAAAGGCAGAAGTGGGGAGGGGTGAGATTCTGGCTGTCTTTTTTTTTCCTTCCCCTTAATATTTATTTAGGCCGCACCAGATCTTAATTGCGGCACACGGGATCTTTAGTTGTGACACGCGAACTCTTAGTTGCAGCATGCGTGTGGGATCTAGATCCCTAACCAGGGATCGAACCCAGCCCCTCTGCACTGGGAGCGTGGAGTCTTATTCACTGTACCACCAGGGAAGTCTTCTGAAAGTAAGGGTAATGGCAGGGATGTAAGAAAGAGGTGTCAGAATGATATAAGAATTAAACTCGTATAATTGGAATGTTGTGAAGAGTTTTTTAATTCTTTGAAAATTTTCCTGTCTTCCAAAATATATAAACAGCTCATGCAGCTCAATATTAAAAAAACAACCCAGTCAAAAAATGGGCAGAAGACCTAAATAGACATTTCT